GAGATTACAAAAGGAAATCATATACCATACTTTTTTTTATATACATGTACCTTTACTGAAGCGCTCAAATGTTTTCAGTGTCGAAGGCTTCGGAGGTCCTTTCTTTGTACTGTTTGGTTGCAGGTTCTAATCCGAACAACAAAATATTCAAACACAATAATTAACTAATCGCGATTTTTAGAAGGTAGGATTTATAATAAATACAAGCTCTCGACGAGAAGGGCACCATTTCTCGTCGTCAAACAACAACAGAACTGCCATTGACTGCAATTTATGATGTAGAGACGCTAAGCTAGAGGTCGACCGTGGAAAGTGGGAATAGTGTGTGAAATTTCCCACTTTCTCTGCGGCGGGCCAGCAGCAGAAGAAATCAAAGGTCCAGAATAGCCTGTCTGCCACCGAATCAAGCGTTTACTACCATGTCCTCAAATTACCAAGGGAGAGGGTCTGTGGCCCATGTGGAAGCTGTAACCATGAGTTTTTAAACTGGATCAAAAAGTGTTCTATTTTTGCAGTGGGGTGGATAAACATCATCACAACGGCAGCGGACTTCAGGGCTACTTTTGGGTGATAAGGCTAATAAAATTAAATTTATTATTTCAGCGCCCGCATGTGATTTTGTCCCTGCATCAAAAAATTCACAATTCATTATTAAAAAAAATGCGAAACCTGACGGAAAATCCAACTCCCAACATCGGAAGTGTCGTTCCAGTAATCCCAGTCGTCAGAACACAATCTTGAGCCCCAAATGCCCTTAGGCACCATGTCAGTATAGCGGGGCACCTAATAGCTTTTATGCACGTGAAAAGGGAATAACTACTTTTCCATGATAGAAAATAATGAATAATGAAAAAAATCTGGATCTGAGAACCCCTGACGAGAAAAAATTGATTCAAAGTTCATTAGCCCAACGGTCGAACCGAAACTGGAACATGATTATAAAAAACATGTTTGATTTTCACGTCTCAAAGACCGGGCAGAATTGATAACATTTTTCGAAGATTGTTGGAGGATTTCATTGCACATGGCAATACACTGCATTAGTTGTCTAACGCTGGTCTGCACGCAACGCTCGACACAGATCGGAAATTACCTGACAATGTGCCGGCCCAATCCGGCGAGTGCAATATGAGACACAAAAATTGAATGCTTTGTTTGAGATGTTTCATGTGCGGAAAAGACGCCCTTGAAGGCCTGCCTTTTAAAATTTTATTCTGAAATCACGTATACAAAAGTGAATATTATGAAAGTTAATTCCGTCATACTCTTCTTGATCATTTTAAAACAAGTTTATCAAAAAATTCTTCAGTAAGGAATGGACAAATGAGTGATTTGTTAAAATAATTTGAAAAACTTTACCTTTCTGGAGAAATCCGCTAGTATTGGCCTTTCACTGGCTGTCCATTTTCAACGTCAACCTAAGATGGATTTT